AATTAAAAACAACCTGTTTTTCCTAAATCCGTATTATAAGCCTCATACTCCTAATTCTGTACCAGGCCATATCTAAAACCACAGAACCTCATAGAAAACACCACCTCATTGAGTTTATGAGTGACAGTATCCACGTAAGGATTGTGATTTCTTGTCTCCAGGGGCTTTCCAGCCATAGACAGATTATCAAAATCTCCCCTTGCCATGGCTTCCTGGATCATGTCGTCAACAATGCGGTCAATACCAAACCTGCAAGGAAAAGCTTATTCCATTAACACATACATAACTTGCATTCCAAACTTGTGTGTTATCTGTATGTTATGAGTATCATCTTACCTATACTTTTGGCTGTCAATTTTACATCAAAATTATGCCTTCCGTAACTGATCACAAGTTCTATAGAACTACACTGTTTTGGAAATACTTCATCCAATACTGTGAATTTGCATAGGCAAGACTTAATACTGAAAAAAGCTATCACCCGTGAAACTTGAAAACACATTGCTTTATAGATATTGCTAGTAATAACACTCACATATTCTTATATATCCAATTCACCTGGCAAATGGTATATATTCATCTAATTCAGGTAATGAATGCTGTCCTTCTGAGTTGCTTGAACCCATGCATATATTAATATGGAATAAATCAATATGTTAAAACTACATTATCTTTGCAAATGTCTTGATTTTTTCACATTCAAAAAACAACTTTTCAGTGTTAACATAAAAGAAAAAAAAAAAAAACTGCATCTCACATCAAATAAACTTCTATCAATAACTTTAATCTGAAAGACTTAGACAGTGGCAGGAGTCAAAACTGTCAAAACATATCTTAGGAATGGTGTGCTTACAGTTTGATATCAAGCTAGGCTTTCTGGAAAATCTATTTACTGCTTATATAATGTAATATACACTAATGTGCATTCATTGTAGGAACAAAACATTAAACTAATTAAGACTCAAATATCATCACTTTTTTATTACTACCTATTTCACTCTTGCCATACAATTCACTTCTGGTACCATTCCTGGTCTATTTACCTTGTGCGAATTTTCTTTGCTGCTGCCCTGTCCTTATCAACAAGCGAGGTCTCAGGGTACTGCGATGATATCTGTTTCACTTTGTAGTCGATCACATTCTCTGATGCTCTGAGGACCTGGAATTTGGAATACTGCTTCTGGCGCTGGCCTGGGGTGCCTATGCCTATGCCTTCATAACTCAGGTACTGGCGGTGCTGAGGGGCTGTTTGCTGTGGAGAAGGGGAGGTTTAGTTAGTGAAAGTGTTTTCTGTTATTTACCATCTCTTTGCATTGGCTTGACAAATGAGTCATATATTCTGGTTATACTTTGTAAATGTGTGAGTTTTTTAAGCCTATTCCATAAATAGCAGGATAGGAATGGAATAATAAGGATAGTACTTCTGCTACTTTTTTTCCCATATCATGATAAAAATGATATAAGACAACACCAAAATATAATATTATATTTTGCATGTCTTGCTGATTATTTCTACTTTTGATTTCTCTATCATATGGTATATACATACAACTCTAATAATATTTTTTTTCCAATATGAATCATAAGTACCTATGGCAAAAACAGTGAAATAAATTATATAAATCACATTTTATAGCAGTAAGATTTACCTTGACCTCAAACCTTTTTTTATCTTCTTCCTCTTCTTCAAATTCCTCCATAATTTTTTGCTTCATTTTCTGTTCATAATACAGTCCAAACTCCCCCTCACACTTATTGTGATTATGTCGATCATTGCTGAATTTCTCCATGATTTTTCTATAGGCCTTTTCAATCTATAAATGATGGAAAGGCTTCACATTAATTCAAACTAACAAGAACATATGTATAGGAAAACCCTTACCGCTAAATGAAATGAAGTATCTATCTAAAAAGGATATGTGGATAAGACTTACATGAGATGGAAGATGTGATCCGTTCAATGAATAAAAGGATGCAACACCTGAATATCACATTTGATTTGGCTTTTCCTAAAATCTGAGTCTTATTTCCAAAGAGAAGCAGCAAGGGATACAACCTTGGCATGATATATGCTGAGTATAAATGTCATATTTTCATCATTATATAATTCCTTCTAACTTTATCAAATTCATTTTAAGCATTTACTATTGAGAGCATGAAAAGGTATCAAAGTATTTCTTAGGGACTAATCCATTCAATTTCATTCAGAGAATGGAAATGTGATTAATTACAATAATACAAACACACATGTAAAACCACCCACCCACCCATACACACACACACACACACACACACACACACACACACACACACACACACACACACACACACACACACACACACACACACACACACACACACACACACACACACACACACACACACACACACACACACACACACACACACACACACACACACACACACACACACACACACACACACACACACACACATATTCACATCACTATTTAGTAGTATAGAAGAAAAAGAAGAAAAAGACAAGAAAAAAGAATAAGTAAGAAGAAAACAAAGAAAAGAAGAAGACAAAACTGATCCAATACAATCCATCTTGGCTCTTTCCTTTCTTGAACTTCAATACACATAAAGATAAGGAAACTAACGAATGCAGTGAATTACCTGCTGGAATTTTACCGCATCTGCAGTTGCGTAACCACCATCAGGGTGATATTTTTTTGCCAGTTTGAGGAAGGCATCGCGGACAGCTGCCTGGTCACTGTCATTCCTGAGACCCAACACGTCAAAGTATTGCTGAAATGATGATTTCTTAATTATTCTGTTGTTTAACATCTCTTTTGATAGCATTATTTTCCATTTTAGTGAGCAACTTTTCTTTCTGGTATAAATCATTAATACTAGCATTACCATATTCATATTCATCATCATTATCATTAATGTTTTTATCCTAGTCATATATATACATACATACATACATATATATACATTTATATACATACATATACACATACATATGCATATGTACACACACATACACACACACACACACATATATAGTTTTATATATATATATATATATATATATATATATAATATATATATATAATTATATATTTATATATATATATATATATATTATATATATATATATATATATATATATATATAATATATATATATATATATATATATATATATATATATATATATATATATATAATATATATATATATATATATATATATATATATATATATATATATATATATATATATATATATATAGATAGATAGATAGATAGATAGATAGATAGATAGATAGATAGATAGATCCCTCAACTACAT